GCTAAGCAGAAGCTCATCTCCACCAGTTGGAACGTGTCAGCCTGTGTCTGCAGTTCTGGGTATGCGGCAGCACTGTGGGTATGTTTGGCTCCTGAGTGTGCGTGTGGTGAGTTAGGGGGTGGTGGGTGTCACACACTGGGAGACCAGATGAGAAAGCCCAGAAGCCACACACAGACTAGGAAGCCAGGCTTTCCAAAATTCCTCCTCAAACATCATTTCTAGGTTGAGGTGTGTGGTTGTGTGTGTGTGTGTGTGTGTGTGTGTGTGTGTGTGAATGTATTTGTGTGTGTGTGTGTGTGAGAGAGAGAGAGAGAGAATGTGTGTGTGTGTGAGAGAGAGAATGTGTGCGTGTGCGTGTGCGTGTGCATGTGTGTGTGTGTGTGTGTGTGTGTGTGTGTGTGTGTGTGTGTGATATTGCATATGTCAGAGGGTGGGAAAGGTTCTGGCCATTAGCTGGAGAGGGATGATGGTTCTCTCTGGGCCCTGGGGAGGCAGAATCCATTCGGCAAGAGCAGAGAACTTGCCGTGTAATGAATAAGCCCCAGCAGGCAATGAGTAACAGTGATGTAGGAGGCTCTCTGAGGATGGGGTAGAGTTGAGGATAGAGTGGCCATTAATCTGGGGTCCCAGAGGAGAGGCCTTGCCCAAACTTTAGGGACTAAGAAGAAAAGGAAGAGTTCTCAGTTAAGGAACAACAAAAGGCTTTGACTGAGCAAAAGTCTGGAACACACAAGGAGGACAAGGCTGGGGCAGAGGCTGATATCTTTACCGAAGTCCCTGGGCTCTTACCCAGAGGCCCTTGGAGCAGGAGCCAGGGCTGGGAGGCCTGGCAGCTGCCGCCGGCCTGGCAATTGCTTTTATTCAACACAGAAGTCTTAGAATCATGGTCTGGGACAGGCTGATCCAGAGGCTTCAGGCAGAAACATCCACCCCCACAAGGAGCTCTTAGCTCTAACTACTGATGACCACCCCAAGCTTGTTGATGGTTACCTGGGTAATTATAATCAACAGCTACAGTCTTTAAGAAAAAGGTGTGTGTGCGTGTGTGTGTGTGTGTGTGTGTGTGTGTGTGTGTGTGTGTGTATCTGTCTGTCTGTGTAGCTTCTGAAGAATTTGAGGTTTCCTCTGACCTAAACACATGTGCACAAGTACGTACACACACACACACACACACACACACACACACACACACACACGGTGGGGGGAAAGGAGGGGGAGAGAGAGAGTGTGTGTGTCAGAACCTGGGTGCAGCAATGACTTATTTGGGAAACAGCTTAACTCAACCCAAAACAAAGAATTTGGAGAAATGTACAAGTACAGTCATATTACTGATCAGTGTGATCCTTTGATGATACCTTGTGATATTTTGATAGCGACTTCTTCTAAATAGGCCCCTGTTTCTACCTTCACAACCCTCAGGTAGCTAAGCAAGGGGCATCAGGTTGACACAAGACCTCAGTTCCGAGATAACCATCCCCGTTACAGCCCTCCCTTTATGTTCAGACAGCTAAGGCACTGGGGAGAGGCCCCAGTTATTCCAAGTTGCCTATCAGCTAAAATCCAAACTTATGGTCACCTCTGAGGCCCACTCCCAAGTTCCTGCCCCTGCCTCTGCCCCAAACTGCTTCTATACCAGACTCCCAAATAGAGTTCACAAGGCCTTCCTGGCCAGAGGCAGGACTGGCAGGGAGGGGGAACAGCTTAGCCAGGATCATGGGCAGCAGACATCAGTGGTCAGAGCCCTATCAGAAAATAAAAATGAAAGCTGTGTTCTGGCTTGGCACAGCTCCATGACCTCTCTCATTCCAAGCCTCAGTTTCTCCCATCTATAGAGGACTTGGTTATGGAGTATGGTAGTACATGCCTGTAATTTCACCTCCTCAGGGCAGAAGGACCACAAGTTCAAGGCCATCCTGGGCAGCTTAGCGATTTAGCAAGACCCAGTTTCCAAAAAATGTCTAAGGATGTGGCTCAGTGGTAGAGAGCTTGACTTCCATGCATGAAGCCCTGGGTTTACTCCCCAGCACAGGGCTCGGTCTAGGAGGTCTCCACGGACTCACTAAAGCAAGGTTCTTTTAGTCCGCGCAACTCAATATTCAGAGCAATGGTCTTTCCTGTGCTCAAGTGTTGGGCTTGAGGGCTTTCAGGGTTTTTACAGCAACAGAATAAAGTCGAGGGGTCTAGCTTCCGAGTTCAGTAGTTTGGCTTAGTAATGACTCATCACAGTTCTTTCCCCGGGCGGGACAGGCTGCTTTCATGGGTGCTCAGAAGAGGAGCAGTTCAGCTGGACCTGGTAGGACGGGTCTGTGATCCAAGCTCCAAAGGAGGATTGAAAGTTCAAGGCCAGCCTGGGTAACTCCGTGAGCCTGGGTCTCAAAGAGCGAAGGGGGAGGGTGATAAATGGCTCAGTCGCAGGGCTCACCTAAGCCTAAATTCCATCTCCACCACTACCAAAAGAAAAACAAAATGAAACAAATCAGTAAGATCTGAAATACCTAGTGGACAGCTTGAACACTCCCACGGCATTGCTAACCAGAGTCCTCACAACAAAATAGGACCAGGGGCATCTGGGGTCCTCAGATCCCATATAGGCAAAGAAATGAGATCCTCGGGCCCTTCAGCCACCCAAGCCTCCCTTGTCCAATGTCAGCTTTCAAAGCTGGGGTGAGTGAGGGACCAAAATCCATCAGTTCTGCCTGAGGCACCATCACTCAGCCTCCAACTGAACCTTCACTGCAAGAAAAAAGACCTTGCCTTTGCCAGAGAATGTCAGATACTGATCATGGTGGGGAGGGGAACAGGCAGGGATAGGGAAGAGGAAGAAGAATTGGACCTCCCGAGGCTAAAACTCTGAAATGTAACAAAGGCTGTGTACAGTGGGCACCACGTTGTCTGTTCTCGACCTCTGCTATCAGGTGTTTTTCCCTTTTAGTCCACAAAGCTCCCATCCACTCCCCTGTCTGGGCCTCTGTTTCCTCGGCTGTAAAACGTGGTTATTAAGTGTCCAGTGGCTGTAGGAGTTCAGTGATGATGCGGGTGGGAATGCCCTTATAAATTCAACAGCTGCACGCTTTTAGTGGCTGTCCGGAAGCTGATTGGGCCACACGGTCGGAAGCTTCCTTGAAGCAGCTTAGATGCCCTCAACAATCTTTGTCAGGAGTTGGGGCAAGGAAACTGCTGTTTCCAAACTTGACATGATCCACCTCTCAGAGCTGGGAGTTCATATCTACCTTCTTCATCATGCTTCATGTTCATTGCTTATCTTTTAGGAATTTTACTTAGCTTAAAGCATTCAACTATCATTATATCTTATGCAGTACCTATTAGCCCTGACAGAACCTCGTGGTACCCTGTGAGGTTGGTTCTATTAGCCCCACACAGGTGAGCACAATGTTAGGCTATCTTTCCCAGCTCCCCCCCCCCCATTCCTCACCCTGCATCCCCATCTATGGAGCTATCTGATTTCTCCTTTCTCCGTCGAGGACCTTTTTCGGACATTGCTCCACAATTTCAACACAGTTCACAAACTATGTTTTCCCGGGCCTTAGTGCCTGTGACCTCATATTATAAGTCAGAATTCCCAGATAGAAGTCATAAGTGCTGGAGTTTGGTTTGGGGTTTTTGGTTTTGGTTTTGTTGATCTGAGACAGTCTCACTCTGTAGACCAGGCTGGCCTGGAACTCACAAAGATCCACCTGTCTCTGCCTCCCAATGCTGGGATTAATGGCATGTCCCACTCTTGTTTTGTTTCGAGAAGTCACACGTTCTGAGACAGTGAATATGTTGCTCTTGCTTCTGCAACATATTGGTAAAATTTCCAGAATTTTACCAATCCAGTTCTCAGAAATCTCAGATTTCCAGACACATCTAGAAATCCCAAGAAAGGGATTATAGCATCCATAGATTGGATTTTTATTCTTATTTTGTTTTGTGTGGATGTGTGTAATTGTGGGTGCATGCATGCATGTGTGTGTATGGAAGTCGGAGGACAAATTTTCAGTTGGTTCTTTTTCCCCTTGCTTTAAGATGTAGACTCTCCCATTTCTGCCACTGTGCTGTGTACTCCAGGTTAGCTGAGCAGTGAGCTTCCGGCCGATTCTCCTGCTCCTCCTCTCATCTTGTAATCAGGGTGTGGGATTACAGAGGCTGGCCCACCACATCTGGCATTTTGCTTGTTTCAGGGCCATTTTACTTATGTTCCAGGCATCAGATTCAGGTTGCCAGGCTTGAGCAGCAAGCACTTTTACCTTCTGAGCCATTGCCCCATAGATGAGGCTTTTGAAACTAAATCCAACTGCAGAATCCATCCTGGGTGATAGAATGGAGATGGACCTGGAATTTACTAGAATGCACTGTCTAGAAAGGGCTCAGGAGTCGGGTCATGGGAAAACCACCTCTTCAGTGGACAGCTGAACATCAAAAGCTTCATCACTCTCACCCAGCCTCATCTAATATTTAAGAAAGTTAATACCATTGTTACGCCAACCAGAGGATAATGTGAAGCAGCAGCCGGTCTCATAGGTCCTGGGTCTGCGTCTGGGTAAACTGCTAGATGTCTCCATACTTCATTTTCTTCACCCAAGCAAGAAGAAACTAGACCAGATTATCCCCAGGTCTCCATCACTTGGAGGTCAGGGGGTGGGGGTGGAGGACTGTGTAAAACCCCAAAGCTGTCCTCTGATTAGGACTATGGAATAGGGGGAGGAAAGAAGGATCGTTTGACCAGCAAAACCTGCCAAGCACTTTACAGCCTCTTAATAGAGCCTGGAGGCTTCCTGGAGGAGAGGTGAGGGTAAGATTTGCAGAAGCGGACTCCAGGGACTGACTGGGTGGGAAAACAATCTGCAGATTCTTCACATTGGATGAGTTGTTTCCCAGGGCTGTTCAAGATGACCTGGGCAACTTGCAGACAGTGCAGACAGCCACAGACCTGAGCCCAGGTTGGAAATTGATAACCCGCCTCCCCTCTGACTCGCTCTCTTGCTGTGTGCCCACAGGACCACCACGAGCTTGCCTTGACATGTGTGCTATTCTGGGCAGGCAGCCAAACAGAGCTTGAGGCGTACAAGGCGTGAGCATGCAGATGCCGCAAGCAAAGAAGAAAAGCACAGCGCCCCTGACCCCAGCGGCCCCGGGCTGTGTCCAAGGCCGACTGCGGAGTCTGCTGTCTCCCGCGCTGTGCTGCGCCTGTGGCTTGTGCGTGCTGCTGGCGGGCCTGAACGTGACCCTGGTGGGAGCTTTCGCAGCCTCCCTGCCTGGGCACAACGCGCCACTGGTGGTGGGGCCGGCGCTGCTCGTGCTGGCGCTTGGATTCTTCGCTGCCTGCTGCGTGTGCAGCCGCCGGAGGCCGGTGTCCCGCGCGCGTTCCTCAGCCACCGCGGGCCAGGGTGGCAGGCGCACAGGGACGGTGGCACTGGAAATGGAGAGCAGCGAGCGCACAGCGCAAGACACGACCGCGGTGCAGCTCAGTCCTGCCGCCTCGGCCGCGTCCTCCGGCCACTCCAGCCCAGGGCCCGGTGGTCTTTTCGCCCTGGATCCTCCCGTGCCAGCAACCTCGGCCGGCTACTTGCCGCACACCGAAGGGACCCAGCTCAACTTCCCTAGGGACCTGGTTGCCTCGTAGTGGGCCAGGAGAAGGGGGGAGGGGTAACGCCAAGGACTGAGCATAAGTGGCCTCATCTGTCCCATCTCTGGAGCCTCCAAAAGGGAGAGTGTAGTGATGGCATTGGCTCTCAAACCCCTAAGAAGGCAGCAGACCTTTGACCTCTTAGGTGGGGGTCTCTAAGCTCTACTTCATCCCCCCTTCTCCTCTCCACATTGATCTGGTACCCTGTCCCTCCCCATGGTGTCTGAGCACTGTGGGGAAAGCCTCATCCAAATCTGAGAGGATCTAGTCAGGCCCTCGGGGTGGAAAGAGGGGTGAAGGTTGAACTAGCTATACCAGACCCTGTGCGTTGTGACAGGCATCTAGCCCTTCTTTCTGCCCTTTAGGTTTAATTGGGGAACAAAGGCTCTGACTCCAGGATGCTCCCTGGGGAAATCTGGATGGCACACACCTCCCCAAAGGTCAGGAGAGCTGAGGCCGGGGTCCTCAGTGGTGAGGAGGCTTTCCAATCCTGAAGGGCCCAATGTGATTTTCACTGCCAGCAGCTCCCGTCACCAAGGCTGTGCCACACTGTGCATTCTAGCTGTGCCTCGCTCCTCAATAAAGCACCTTCCGAGTCAGTACTCTGTGGTGCACAGGTGGGGGGAGGGGTTGACTGGGGGCTTCTGAGCGCCTGGGAAGACTCTGTGACTCTGAGCCAGCCTCTCCTCTCATTTAAGGGATCCAGTGCTGGCCCACCATCCCTTGACAGTGGTAACGCCTTGCCTATCCACTCTGGGCTTCACAAGCCTTCTTTCTCTTTCCATGGTGGGCTCTGATGCTCTTCTGCCATGGACCAGGTACTTCCCAACAGCTCTGAGGCCCTTTCTTCCTCCATCTACTGCCTAGTCCTACACTCCTCTCCTCCTGTCCCCCCATTCCAGGGACATAAAGGAAAGCAAATTTACCAGCAGGTGTTGAGTGAGTCATCCCCATTAGTTCACATGGGTCAGGAGCCCCTAATCTTTGAAGCACTCAGCACTTGGAAACACATGCGCTCTTCTTACAGCATCTTGTCACCTCTATTGAGAATCTGTTGGCATGCATGTGTGTATGTACGTGTGTGGGTGTATGTCTGGTCATCCCCAGGCTCATACTCGTGTGGATCAGTGCTCTGCAGTCCCAAACACCATCTGCTTCCACTTCCTTGAAAGTAGCCAAAGAGAGAGGCCCCCAGTGACCAGTGACACTGCCTTAGGTGTGACCTGGACCTCCTTTCTACCAACACCTTATAAGGAGACACCCCATACACTCTACAATGCTAGGCCCAGTCCAAAACCCTCCCAGTTGACAGATGCCCCAAATTACACCCTCAGGGCTCTTTCCCCTCACCACCACCCCAACACACACACACACACACACACACACACACACACACACACACGAAGACTTCCTGATCTTGTTGCGTAGCTCGCTACTGGAGAGGGATTGGAATGGACTTCAGATAAGGATTCTGATCAGTGGATCAACAGATCAGAAAATCAGTGGTGTGCCAGGCGGTGGTGGCCCACACCTTTAATCCCAGCACTTAGGAGGCAGAGGCAGGTGGATCTCTATGAGTTCAAAGACAACCTAGTCTACAGAGTGAGTTCTAGGACAGCCAAGGCTACACAGAGAAACCCTGTCTCAAAAAAAACAAAAACAAAAACAAACAAAACAACCCAGTGGTGTAAGGAGACTGAGGTGGACATATAGACTCTCTAGAGTCCCTTCTTGCCACCCCCAGCTGAAGATTATCTCAGCTCCATCTCCTTCCTCCATCTCCTCAGTCACACAAGTCCCCTAGGGCCCACTTCCCAATCAGTGCCAGCAAAGAACCCTCAGGTCTCTAGACCTGCCACACCAGGGTCTCCTCCCTTCATATGGTTTCTCCAGTGACAGCTAAGGGACAGACCCTTTCAGGGCAGTATGGCCAGTGAGATCCTGGAGCAGCCCCACTCCGTAGACACAATAGAGCCAAAGATGAGCTCTGCCCTCACATCTCTGCAGGCCTCTCCCAGGCAGGCCACTGGGAGACTGTTTCTGTCAAGGTGAGGATGGGATTCTAAAAGCAAGTTCCCTGACTGTGAGGAGTCCTTGAGGGCTATGTAACACCTGCAAGGGGCACTGTAGAGGACCAAACCCTCTAACCTGACCCTCTTGGTCCCCCAGAGGTCCAGGGCTGCAGTGAGGACACAGAGCTGATCCTTCTGAATGCATAAATGCTACCCAGGACTTGCCATGGGGGAACTTTGGGGTGGTCCAGGGAATCCTGCCTCTCAGAGGAAGCTGCTGCTGGCCTGGACTAGGGAACCCATAAGGGGTCAGAAACTGGGGTTTCTTCCTGCCAGTCCCTTTGGAAGAAATGAGGGTGGCCACTGGGAGCTACTTTTTACCCATGAATCCAACAGATAATTTCTGAACCTTGCCGTGTGCCCAGTGCTGGGAGTGTACATTCTACTTGGGGAAGCAGACAGTAAACAGGACCGGAGACATGGCTCCATAGGTAACAGTGCTTCTACAGCAGCATGAGGACCTAAGACCAGATTCCTGCACCCACGGAGAAAGCTGGCTCTGGCCACGCTTATGACCCTGTAACACAGGACCCTGCTGGGAGGTGTGGAGTATTATTGAGGCTGGCTGGACACCAACGGAGTTTCAGATTCAGCTTGAGATGCCCTGTCTCGAGAGAATGGGCAGAGAGTGACAGCGCAGGACATCTGACATTCTCTTCCAGCCACTGCACTTGTGCACACATGCATGGGCACCCATGTCCACACATGCACATATGTCACATTCGTACACGCACACACAAGACCAAGAGACACCAGTAAACAGTCCGCTGCTGGAAATCACAATGGGAAGGTGTGTGTCTTAGGGACCTGGGTAGTTTGGGAGGTCTTCTCTGAGAGAAGCTAAGTTCTGAATGGAATGGCAAGAGTCAGCCATGCTAATGTCTAGGGAAAGAACATTTCAAGTTCAGGAAAATGGCCATTGAGAAAGCCCTGAAGTATGAACTTGTGTGTCAAAACAGAGAGAAGGGCTATGGAGATTGGAGGGAGTGAAATTAGAGCGGGGGGGGGGGGGTTATTGCTCAGCCCACGGCAAGCTTCGTAAGGCTGGGGTGAGAAGTCAGGATTGTATTCTCGGTGAGATGGGAGTCACTGGGAAGTGACTAAGCAGGGAAGTGGCCTGGGCTAATTTATGATTGTAAAAACTGCCCTGCCTGCTGTGTGAAGACGGTGTTGAGGGGAGAGCCGTGGTAAAGACAGGGCAGGTTAGGAGGTGGCTGCAACGTTGAGAGGGGGGTGGGGGCTGAGCGGTCACTGTGAGCAACTGCACCTGTCTCTGAGGTAAATGGGACAGTCACCTGCTGGATTTCCTGGGAAAGGGAAAGAAGGGGCTCTGGGAGGAAGTACTAATATTTGGCACAATCCCTGGGGTATAGGTTGGAGGGCCATATTCTGGGAGAATCTTAGGAGCTGTCAGCCCAGAAGAGCAGTCCTGAAGGAGCAGGTCTACAGGCCTGGATTCTAGAGAAAAGGACCCAGGTATGTAGACCTAGGAGCCTCTGGCCTATGAGTTGTAGTGTGCGAGGAGAGGCAGAGACAGAGACCTCCAGCCTAGTTTATTCTAACCTGTAAACCTGGGGGAGAAGGACCCTAGGATGTTCTGAAGCTCTGTCAACCTTCAGCCGATGCCAGTGGGTTTCTATGAGGATGGTGGCCAGAGTTAGGGATTAAGACGAGGACTGAGAACCAGGAAGTGGAGATCTTCATCATGTTCACAGCTACACGTGACACAGGTAGGTGAACAATAGGATCTGTCAAGCCAGTGAATTAAAGATGTGACTCTCATCACACAGCTAAGACCTGGGTCCCTGACAACAGAGGTTATAGATGCCAACTGGCCATGAAGGTAGACAAGCTGTGGGAGTGTCCACTGCCCACTTGCAGATTCCTGTGTGTCCACATCCTCTGTGTGCCGGGATGAAGAGCATATAGATGGCCGGATAGGCTTCCATGGCTATTCCAGAGGAGCAGGTTTCCCAAAGCGAAAGAAGGCTAAGCCTGAGAAAATCAACACTATTAGAGACTTCCACCAGAGGGCACCCTGAGTACATGACAGGGAATTCCAGCCTCCTGAATTTTGACTTTTTCTCTTCTGAAGGCCAAAGACCCAGAGGAACTGGGAAATCGAGGGAACAGGGGTGGGCATTAGACACCTAACTGTATTAAGTAAATCATCCATTTCTGTGACTAGATGATACCGAGGAAGCCTTGACCTGGAAATAGAATTCATCAAGGTCACAAATAAGTCCTGAGTCTATCATAGACTGAATCCTAACTTTGATCTTGAATGCTCACCCTGGTCCATACTGAGCCCTGGTCCTTGATTATAAGATGAACTTGAGTCTGGTCACACTCTGAGCCCTGATCCTGCTTTGTCGGTGTTCTGAACCTGGTCTTTATTACCAAGTTCTCTGATCCTATTCCATAGGCCTTTATTATATGCCCTGATCCCCCAACCTTTATTATATATTGAACTGGGACCTAGATACGAACTGAGGTTTGCTCATGAACACACATCAGCTTTTGTTTGGGCTATAGACTGAGCTCCGGCCCTGGTTTAAAAAAAAAAAAAAAAAAAAAGCCCTGACCCTGGTCCTTATACTGAGCCCTAACTGACAAAACCCTAATCCTGACTCTGGTCATAGACCTCTGACACTTGACAAAGATGGAACTTTTATCATGCTCACACCCAGTCTTGATCACTATGCCTTGCTCTCCTGACACTCCACTGACGTGAAGATAGGCGGAGACTCCTGTCAGGTCAAGCTTCCTCCCCCAAAGTAAGTAACGCCTAAAGCACTTCTGCAGGGACAAAAAAGAATTCTAGATCTCTGGTTTGCCCAGAAGCTTCAGGTCCTTGGGTCTCTGGCAGGGTAAGCAGAGAAAGACTGGTTCTCCGACATCTGGGATACAAAGGAAGAGGGGCAGCTCGGATTCTCAAGGTATCCCAAGTGCTGGTGGGAAGCCGCATAAGAGACTCTTCTCACTGCACCTATGGCTGCCTTGGAACCTCGGACAAGTCCCTGCTGCTTCCTGGGCTCCACTCTCTGCTACCTGTCATAGAAAATGTGAGGTGACATTCCACGTAAAGAAGAAACCCAGGCCATGATGAAGACCCCAGATCGCCGCCACGTGCCCTTGCAGGAAGAGAAAGCTCCTCATTCTGGAAGCTCCCTTTGCCTGGTCACTCCAAGCAGGCCAAGAAAGAAGTGAGGCTGGAGCCAGGTCTCCCAAGGCCTCTGTTTCTGGGGTCTGATGTGTGTTAGGGATGGGCGGCCCACAAAGGGACACTGACAGATTTCATTTCTACCCTTCCCGGGGACTGGTATGGGTGCTCTGCCCCTGCAGGGCCACACCAGGCTCTGCCAGGCACACAGGACTTTGGGTTCACCTAGGGAGGTACTAAGGGTGAGGGTGGGGGCTGAGCCAGGCAAGAGCTGGGGCGGAGAAGGGGGGGCAGCTTGAGTCAAAAAACGCTGACGCTGAAGACAATGAGCTCTCCAAGGCTGAGGCAACTCATTTGGTCCCGG